ATAAAATGAGGATATTGGACTCAGTGTCCTATGAGGTCCCTCCCAGCTCTAAATCTATAATCCCAGCATTAAGTTATCATACAGAAAACAATCAATGGGAATGGAGGTAAGCCAGTCATATACCAAGAACAAGGGACCCCAGATAGAATGTACTAACAACCACAAACTGTTATAAACACAGAGGAAAACATCCAGGATCTAGGGACCATTTTTGATGTGGAGATTCTCCACTTCTGGTCTAGACAATAGCCTAAGAAGTGTTTTGGCTGCCCCCCAATCTTTTCTCCAATCCATGATCCACAGAGAGGCCAAGCAGGTATTCCTGAAACAGATCTGACCATATCTCGCAAGCCACACCCCATTCAAAAATCTTCCGTGATTCCATGGTGAGAAACAAATTTCTTAGACTGGCATTTAAAGCCCTCCACAATCTGACCCCCCATCTACCTTTTCAGTCTTGTTTCCTATCAATGCCTTTTATATATTCTGAGTTCAAGCGATACTGGGCTGTGCACTATTTCTCATAAATGACCCTCTATCTCTTACCTTTTCACAGGCTGTATGGGATGTGCTGGATTTGGACCCTGTATGGACACTGAAGGTCATTCAGTCCAACTCTACCATTTTATAGATGAGGAAACTGAGACCCCCCCCCCAGAGGTCAAATGATTTATCCAAGGTCAATAGAAAAACTGGGATTCAACTTGACCCCAAATGCAGAGTTCTTTCCATTACATCATTCTAAGGATCCCAGGAGTTATACCATTTGTCCAATGTCCCACAGCTACTAAGTGAGGGAATCTGACACTTTTATCTAGATCTGCTGATTTCAAGTCTAATACTTTTTGCAGGGTCGTAGAATTAGGGGCTGGAAGGGACCTTAGGCATTATCTAGTGCCTAGATTCCTTATTTTACAAAGAGAAAACTAAGACCCAGGGAGAAGTAACCCATCCACACACACAGCTGGGATTTGAACTCAGGTCTTTTTGATTGCAATTCTTTGCCACTCTGCCTCTCAGAGGCCCTGAGATCCTGTCTTTAGCTCTTGCTACCTATATAACTTGTGTAAATCATTTCACTTTTCTGTCTCCATTTTTTCATTTGTAAAATGAAGAGATTGGATGAAATAATTCCTAGGATTCCTTCAAGCCCCAAATCCCATGCTGTGGTGTTCCAAGACTGTGATTTCACTGTTATACAGTGAATACAGATATCCAAGATACATAGTATAAATGGAAAGGAATCTCAAAGTGAAAGTATTAGCAGCGGGCAAGACAAGGAAAAGACTCCTAGGCTTCCGACTAGTGCTGCCATGCTTATTTTGGGGAGGTTCTCTACAAGGGATCTCATTCCTACTCCCTTAAGAAAAAAAAAAGAATCCAGGGAAACCAGAAAGCAGAGAGGAATGGGAAGATGTATTATACACATAAGTATATATTTAAATTTTATATAAATCATCAATTTAAGTGACATAAATCATTTTGGTACCTTGGTGGCACAATGGATAGAATGCTAGACCCAGAATCAAGAAGACCTGAGTGCAAATCTAGCCTTAGACACTTATTAGTTGTTACCCTGAGCAGGTAACTTAACCTGTGCCTGCCTCAGTTTCTTCATCTATAAAACAGGGAAAATATTAGCACTTTCCTCCCAGGGCTGTTATGAGGATAAAATGAGATAATATTTGTAAAGCACTTTGCAAACCTTCAAATGCTATATAAATGCTATCATCATCATCATCATCATTTATTACTTTAATTGCAAAATGCTTTCTTTAAATTTGATTGACAGATACAACCTATAATCAGATACATCTCTGTAGTGTTTGATTACAACAAATGGAGATCAAACCTGTTTTTTATAGGAAAATCTGAGGGAGGAAAATCTACTTCTCACCGGGGATATCAGGGAAGAAGGCTGCACCAAGGAAGGTGAAACTTGAGCTGGGCCTTGAATGATTTTGAAAGGTGGAAATGATCATCAGATCACAGAAATAGAGCTGGAAGGGAGCAAGCATTTATTAGATACCTACTGTGTGCAAGGCACTGAGCTAAGCGCCTTACAAATATTAGCTCATTCAATCCTCACACTAATCATGGGAGATAATGGCTTGTATCATCTCTATTTAACAGTTGAAGAAAATGAGACAGTATTTAAGTGACTTACGAAGGGTCAGACAGCTCCTAGTTTTCTGAGCTCGATTTGAACTCAGGTCTTTCCTGATTCCAGGCCCATAATTCTATCCACTGTGCCACCTAGCCTCCTCTAAGGTAAGGATTTTAGGGAGCATTTATTCCACCACTCCATTTTACAAATTAGTTAACCCAGGCCAGAAGAGTTGAAGTGGTTTGCCCAAGGTTACTCGGGTCATCAGTAGCAATTCTTTGATTCTAAATCTATGACTCTGTTTCTCATTGGAGAGGGGGATGGAGTAAATTCCATGCATCACATGATCTCTTCTGTAGGAATGGTTAGTAGGCCAGTTTGGGGGAACACACAACACAAGAGGGGGGTGGTGTGAAATAAATCCAGGAAGGCACTTTGGGAACAGGTTGCAGAGGACCTGAAATGTCGGGCTGAGGCTTTTGTATTCCATTATTTATTTATTCATTTTAATTTATTTTTATATTTGTTTGTACATGCATTTTATTTATTTAATTAATTATTTGATTCAAGGGCTAATGAGCACTCTAGATTTTTTAAGGAGAGGAGTGAGCTGATCTGTGCCTTAGGTAGATTACGTTGGTAGCTGTGTGGAAGATGAATGGAGAGGGATGAAATCAAAAGTCCTGTGCTCATAATGTTGACTCTGCCTTGGGCTAGTCATATGATTCTGGCTAAGTCACCTTACCTCTCCCATCTGTGAAATGGGCATATAATACATGTACCACCAGCCCTCACTGCAGGAAAACGTTATGAGAATTCCAGTTATTGCTGCTGTTGTTATTATCCACTTTAACAAAATGTGTGTCCTGAAAGTCATTGGATCCTTTGTTTCTTCCATCAGTAACCATTTACTGAATCCATTTCCTCTAGTCTTTGGCTTAATAACTTGGTCCTCAGAAGTAATCACAGTATTTTAAGGCGTGACTAGCTCATTTCTTCTCTCACCTTTCTCTAGAAGAGCTACCTCCATGTTCTAGAAGAATTGCATTTTTATGCAATTTATGCAATTTATTGCATTGTAATGATTTTTAGAAGTTTAAAAGATTTTTGCTAATTATATCACATCCATTTCTGATTGATTCTTCCCCCTCTTCCCCAGCCTTCATTAGAAGGATTAACTACTTTTGATCCTCCATTCTCTTATCTGCAAAATAAAGGAGTTGGGTTAAATGACTTTTAAGGTCCGTGCTACATTTGGAGTCAGGAACCTGGTTTGAATCTCAGTTCTGATACTTACTACCTGTCTTATCTGAGGTCTCTCAGTTTTCTCATCTGGAAAATTAGGAGGTTGAACTCTGAGGTCCTTGCTGCATTTGGAGCCAGGGTACCCAAGTTCAAACCTCAGTTGTCTCACTTCCTAGCTGTGTGAACTTGGGTAAGTCCGTCCCTGGACCTGATTCTTCATCTGTAAAATGATGGGGTTGGATTTGATGACCTCTACCTAAGAACCTTCCAGGTCTTAGATCTATGAGCTGATGATAAACTTCCTAACGATTTGAGCAGTCCAAGGTGGGAAGGGCTGCCTCAGCAGAGAGTGAGTTTTCCATCCATGGTGCCTTCTAATGAGGCAGGATGACCCTTGACTAGAATGTTATAGAGGAAATTCCTGTTTATATTTGCAGTGAACCAGATAGCATGGGCTCCACCCCCAGGAGTCCTTTCTAGCCCCAAGATTCTGAGATTCTGTGTTTCATCAGTTGACTGCTGGGTTGCATCAGACCTGTTGCAACACTGACAGTCACCCAGCTTGCTCCAACAGTAAATGTGGCTCATGTAGGTCGGTGTGAAGGCAGGGCAATAAGGACAGGAGAAACCAACCCAAGAACAGATGGAAGTGTCCTTGCCTGTGGAGTATCGTATCTAGAAATGCATCCATGAGACCATTCCAAAAGTTAGCCACACATCTCACGGAAGCACAAATGAGCCAATCAATGGGCAGTCACCACTCCTCACTCCCACTCCTTAATAAAAACTCCACCAAGAAAAAGTCATCCTAGTCATTCTCATGATCTCCACATTACTCGGGGCAGAACATTGAGCAGCCTTGCCATGCCTCCTCTGGGAATGGCTTTGGTTTCTAGTGGTGGATAATTTTAATAATAAAACAGTGCCTGATATGTCCACTGAGCGTGAGTTGCACCTACATATACTCCCTACCTTATAGGGTTGTTATGAGGAAAGTGCTGAATATTTCCCAGGGGATGGAGCACTAGATTTGAAATCAGAAAGACCTGTTTTCCAACCCCATCTTGGACATTTACTAACTGTGTGACCCTGGGCAAACCGTATATCTATTCTGGACCTCAGTTTCCTTCTCCGTAAAATGAGGGGGTTATATTCAATGACCAATGAAATGCCTTCCAGCTCTAAGCCTAGGCTCCCATAGGCTTATGATCTATAACTTTAAGCAGTTTAGACAAGCGGGCAATTGTGGTTTACAGTGTCCAATATATAGAAGGTGCTTAATAAATATTTATTGCCCGACTGACTGACAGTAAAAGCTCATATCTCTATAGCACTCTAAGGTTTACAAAATTACAAGCTTGGGCATTTGGTGGCATATGCATTATTGTCTCCATTTACAGAATAGGAAACCTAAGTGATTTGCCTGAGGTCATACAGCTAGTCTGAGGGCAGATTAAAGCCCACATTTCTAGGTTCCAAAAATAAAACCACAAACTATTTCTTTTAAGGGCTCCATCTCACATTCCAGAAATGCAAAGCTATGGAGATTACAATGAAAACAAACAAAAATGAGCTCATTTTCTTACCCCCCAAAATTTTTTAAAAATTATTTACTATGAACATAATATTAAGCATATCTTTCAAATACCTTTGAATGAATGTGTGACCTCACAGACTTGCACAGACTCCCTTCCTTTGATGCCTGTCTGTCCATCCTGTACAATTCTTGTCCATATCTTTCCAAAGGTATACTGCCAGGCTTTTCTTGTCCCTTGACATTTCTAGGGCAGCAATGCCACATCAAAAGTACCAATATCATATGGATGCAATCAATTAAACTTTGCAATTATTTACATTTAAACAAATGAAATTGAATGCCTAAAATGTCATAACAACCTTCAGACACTCCTTGTAATTCTCCATTAATGTTCTCTCTTCATCCATTCATTTCTACTCGGTTTTCTTCCCTTGTGGTCCTAGACACTGAAAGATCTCGTCTAGTTCTGGCTAATTATTTTCTTTTCCATTTTGTATTACGTAGCTCACAGGATTACCACTTTAAAACTTGAGGTTATGCCTATCTCCCTTAATTCTAGTACCTTCCCTCTATTGATTATATCCAATTTATCCTGTAGATAACTTGTCTATACATAGTTATTTACATGTGGTCTCCTCGGTTAAATTCTGGGCTCCTTGAGGTCAGGGATGAACTTTTACCTTTTTTTGTATCCTCAAGGCTTAGGATAGTGCCTGGCACATAGTGGGCATTTAATAAATGCTTTTTGCCTATTGACTAGATATTCATTTTGTACATGTCTCTGTCATTAGACTATGAACTCCTTAAGATCAGGGACAGTATTTTGCCTTTCTTTGTATGTCCAGGGCTTAGCACAGTCTTGGGTACATGGTAGCCACTTAACAAATGTTTATTGGCTGATTGATTATCAAGTCGAACCTTTTCATTTTACAGATGAGGAAACTGACTAAGGAGTCAAAGGATGTGAGTTCAAATCCTGCCTATGTAACCTGGCAAATTGTTTAGCTTCCCCAGGCTACAGTTTCTGTAGGGAGTTGGCCAAGATGATCTCCACCAGGGTCCCTTCCATCTCTAAATCCATGATCCTATGAAGACCAGAGAATTCTAAAGTGAATTACCCAAATAGAAGGTGATCAGATGAGTAGTGAGCTACAGGACCAGGATTTTTACCTATATTCTCTGACTATTATTAGTACCCTTCCCACAATACCACCCTTCCTTTCATAAGGAGCTGTCCATTCTAATTCTTCTTTCACAACATGACTAATGTGGAAATATGTTTAATTTGATTGTACATGTATAGCCTATATCAGATGGCTTGCCATCTTGGGGAGGTGAGATTGAAGGGAGGGAGGGAGAAAAAAAGTTGGAACTCAAAATCTTATGAAAGTGAACGTGGAAAACTATTTTTACATGTAATTGGAAAAAATAAAATACTATTAAGAGAAATAAATAAGGGTCTCTCCAAATGTCTTCATGTTCCTCAAACTCATCCACTTTGTTTGTTACAGTGTTCCATTACACAAATAAATGCTATTTACTTAACCATTTTGCTTTATTTAATATATTTATAATTTTGTGTGGACACTATTTTAACATCATTTCAAATGTATAATTAAAAAGAACTCATATAGACTTCAAGGGCAGTGAACAAAGTCAGTTGAAGGCATAGCATCATTCCCCAAACTTGCTTCCTTGACCATGTCCCATCAAGAGAGATATCATATGATTAAAATAGACTCAAAAATCATTTTTCCTCCAAGTAAGCTGTGGTTGGTTATATTTGGGGACTTCTCAGTTCCCTTAGGACTTATGGCCATTTAAAGCAGGGATTCTTAATCTGGAGTTTGGGAACTTTAAAAAATATACTTTAAGAATTCTTTTTCAACATGATGGATTTTCTTTGCAATCATCTATATTTTATTTTATGCATTTAAAAACATTATGCTGAGAAGGGATCTAGAAGCTTCACCAGGGTGCCAAAGGGACCCATGACACACTGACACATACAAAAGGTTTAGAAATTGTGATTTAAAGTTGCTGTTGTTGTTGTTTTTTGACATCGTTGAACCAACCACCTCATAAGCAAGAAAAAACCATCCGCAACTTTCTTCTCCATTATCCGGAAATAACATCCTCCCTCTCCCCCAGCTTGGGTAAATTACTTACTTGTAGTCTTTGGCCAGAGTCCTGTCATTCAAGGTACACAGAGGACAGCTGTGTTCAAGCCTTCTAGCTAAATCCCAGTGATTTCCTACAAGCCCATGAGATGTGTGATGTTTTCTTGTATGCGGTGGGAGATTTTTTTAAGTGAAAGTTTGAATGATAACATGTTGCCTTCTGGCCCAGCCTTGTTTCTTCTTTGGCTTGCTGCCTCAATGGACACAGATTAGTCATTAACAAGTCTTCCCTGGCTACGTTATCTAAACAGAAATTTGAAGGCTTGGAGCCTTAGTAAACAGAGGAAAGATGGTCAAAGTATAGCCCTGGGATATTCCCTGGGACCCTAACTGGACAAGATCCTCACCCTAGCACACCTTGGAGTAAACCTCGCAGAAGATATAAGATGCCTTTTTTAAAAAAAAAAAAGTATGCTTTCGATAACAAAATAGGAAGGGGTGATAGCTTGTACCAGGAGAAGAATTAGAGGTCTATTCAGAGTTTCTTGAGGGGGAGGAGGAAGGAGAAGGTGTAGGGAAGAAGGAGGAAGGGAGAGAGAGAGACACAGAGGAAAGAGAAGAGGAAAAAGAAGAGAAAGAGGGGGGAGAAGGGGAGAAAAAGAGAGAGGGGGAAAAAGAGAGGAAGGGAAGGAAAGAAGAACGAAAAAGAGACAGGAAGAGAGTGGGGGAGGGAGGGAAGGAAAGGAGGAGAAAGAGAGAGAAAGAGAGAGAGAGAGAGGAAGAGGAGGGAGAAAAAGGAAATTGTATGTGTATGTGTTAGTGGAGGGAAAGGAGAGATGAGGAAGAACAGGTCTTATCAAATCCTTACTTTCAAATGCATTCTTGATACTATACATATCAGTTTAATTTAGTCAACACCATTTCCTTGACATCAGCACTTGAGTAATGGGGAGAAAAATCCAAAACCAATGGATTTGGAGGCAGAGGACCTGGGTTCCAATCCTGTCTCTGTTTCTTACAACTTATGGGATTTTCAGCAAATCACTTAACCTCTCTGGACCTCAGTTTCCTAATCTGTAAAATGAGAGGATGGGATGAGGTGGTCTGAAAGGTTCCTTCCAGCTTCCTATCTCTGAATTCTGGCACTTAGCTCATTGTCTAGTACAAGGGTGGGGAACTGCGGTCTCGAGGCTACATGTGTCTGAATTCAGTCAAAGGGCTGCACTTGAGGACCTAGAGTGCCACACGTGGCCTCAAGGCCTCAGGTTCCTCAGAGACTTAATAAATACTTGTTGCCTTTATTTGTTGACTTGGGTCTCATTTTCCTCAAACAAGGGGGTTGAATCAGATGGCCTCAAAAATTCCTTCTAGGTCTAAATCCAAGATTCTATAATCTTGTGATCTGTTTGAGAATATTAAATTTCTTTTTCTGTTAGTCATGAGGTGGGTGAGATAACATGGTCCAGTGGATAGAAAGCTGGCCTCAGAGGGCAGAATTCCTAGGTTCAGGTCCCAGCCTGGGTTACATGTGACCCTATTGTTGTACCTCTCAGGGGCTCAAGCAACTCTGAGACTGAAGGGTATAAAGCTGGTGTTCATCTGCACTAGTAATGGGAGTTTCTTCCATGAGGGACACGATGAGTTCAAATCATGAGCTACACCTTACACCAATGCTATTATTATTATTATTATTATTATTTATTATTATAACAACAATAATAATAAGTACTAACATTTCTATAGCACATATTATGTGCCTAGTACACTGGGCCTGGAGTCAGGAAGACTCATCTTCCTGAGCTCAAATCCGGTCCCAGACATTTACTAGCTGTATGACCCTAGGCAAGTCACTTACCTCTGTTTACCTCAGTTTCCTCATCTGTCAAATGAGCTGGAGAAGGAAATGGCAAACCTCTCCAGTATCTTTACCAAGAAAACTCCAAATGGGGTTATGGAGAGTCAGACACAACTGAAAAACAACTGAATAGCTGACAAACATGAAATGTGACTTCCTCATCTGTCAGGTGAAGGTCTGAGATTGGATGACTTCCAAGGGTCTGTCCAGCTCTAAAAAGCCCTAGTTCTAAATCCTCATGCCCTGAACAATCTCAGTTCTGTCAACAAGGCACCATATTGCATGTTTTTCAGCTGGTAATCAGAGAGTTTTCATGTTCTTCCCTGTATGTTTTCCTTCTACCCCCCACCCCACCCCTGTCTCATCTATGTGGTTTGAAGTTTGGCTGATGGTACACCGAGATCTTGAGCCTCCTTTTAAGGGAGGACAGGCATGCAGGGCTTAATAATTCCAGTGTTTTTCTTCAACTCCATGATGACTTTGGTAGGTAAGACCTATTTCTAAGAGTTGGAGTAAGGATCAAATAAGATAATAGTTTAAAAATGCTTAGCACAGTGCCAGACACATTGTCAGATAGTTAGCTGTTTTTCAGTTGTGTCCAAGTCTATGTGACCCCATTTGGGGTTTTCTTGACATTTTACAAAGGAGGAAACTGAGGCAAACAGGGTGAAGTGACTTGCCCAGGGTCACACAGCTAGTAAATGTCTGGGGCCAGATTTGAATTCATTAAGAGCAGTCTTCCTGACTCCAGGCTCAGTAAACTAGGCACATAATACGAGCTATAGAAATGTTAACATTTATTATTATTGTTGTTATAATAATGGTGATAATGATGATAATGATGATGATGGTGATTTTACAATGGTGTAGGGTGAGACTTGTAGACCTTGTTGTCAATTACAGAGCAGAAGGCATTTGATAGACACTCGCTCTCTCCCCTTCTCTCTTCCCTACTAAATCTTAAGGCTAAACATGGCAGTTATTATTATTATTATTGCTATTATTATTAATTACTACTACTACTACTACTATTACTATTACTATTCCTACTCTCATTATCAACCCTGCCTCTGCTACTACTGCTGCTACTGTTACCACTGCTATTATTACTCTTACTACTACTCCCACCACCACCATTACTGCTATCACTCACATCCCACCCACTATTATTACCACCGCCACCATAACTACCATTATTATTACCACCCGCCCATGCTCCCATCTCCTCCTCCTCCTCCTACTACTACTGATACTTTTATTACTATTACTACCACTACCACCCACTACTCCCTTACTACTGATGCTGCTACTATTGCTACCACCACCATTACTATGACTATTACTATTACCATCCACCCTCCCACCCCCCAACTATGACTACTACTACTATTACTACTACTACTACTCCTGCCACTACTATGACTAGTACTAGTACTACTACCACCACCACCCTTAGTACTACTTTTATTACTACCACCACCCCCCTACTACTATTACCTACCATGACTGCTACAACTGCTACTATTACATCTACTACTACTACCAACACCACCACCACTACTTACTACTACTAACTACTACTAATGCTACTAACTACTACTACTACTACTACTCCTGCCACTACTATGACTAATACTAGCATCATCACTAGCACCACTACTTGCTACTGCTAACTAGTGCTACTACTGCTACTCCTCCTCCTCAACATATGTATTTATGTCTCCCTTACTTGGCTGTGTAGTACAGAAACAAATTTCTACTTCTTTCTGATTCCTGGTGGAGTATACTTTTGGTGCTATATACCTAGGGTTTTTCAGTGAGTGTGTGGTTGGACATTATCTAAGTAATCAAGGTATACAGATAACATGGTTCCTGGGAAAAGACTATTTCTAACCAATTTCAATCCCAACTATCAATAATTAATACCAGGCCATATTTATATAGTTCTTTTTAAATTTGCAATATACATTGTCTCATTTGAGCATCACAACAAAGCTCTGAGATGGTGCTCCAATATTCTCATTATACAGATGAAAGAGCTAAGGCTCAGTTAAACTGACTAAAAGCAGGGATTGTTAACCTAGGATCCATGAACTTGGTTTTTAAAATATATTTTGATAACTCTATCTCAAGTTCTAAAAACAATTAAAACCATTTGGAACTATACAGATTTAAATCCCACCTCTGATACTTACTGTCTGTGTGACCCTATACATGTCACTTAACTTCTTAATAATCTGGACACCTCTCTAAGACTAAATGACAGGGCAAATTCTGACTTGCATTAGTAGAGGGAGACCCTAATAAGTACTTCTTTAACCCCAGTGAAATTACAATTCCAGTCCCTATCTGTATCTCTCTCCTACCATTATTAACTAAACAGTTGGTACTTTCAATGAGCAATCCATGTTGACAGTAGAAAGTAAATCATTCCCCCGGGAAATTCCTGTTATAAAAGAAACCAATGGAAAAGTGTAGGAGTGCTCAAGTACTTGCAAATACACACCCACTTACACACACACACACACACACACACGCACACTAATGTAAAAAAAAATGATAGCAAAATATGAACTACAAAACTGAATAAGACATAAACGATTTCAGAAATTGTGAAGATAAAATGGGATATTTGTAAAGTATTCTGCAAACCTACCATGCTACATAAATGCTGCTATACTTACAATTATTATTATCATTATTATTATTATTATTATTACTGTTATGGAACTTAGCAGGTCCTAAAACTATCACATAAGGAAATCTTCTAGTTTCTTAGGTGTGGCCTTTTGACTGAGTCCAAGTTTTATAGAATAAATCCTTTTATGAAGGGGATTTGTTCTGTGAAGTTTGGATTCAGTCAAAGGGCCACACTTGAGGACCTAGAGGGCCACAGGTTCCCCATCCCTGATTTAGAACCTCTGCTTTGCCACAGGGGTTCGTGTTCAATCCTCTCCAGCCCCAGTTCAAGTATCTTTGTCTGAGCGCATTTGTCTCATGCAAAGGCCTCAAAGGAAAGTGACCCATATATTTCCATGGGCAGTAGAGGCTCATTGGCCGTGAAACCTTCTGTGATAGCTTCCCAATAAATAACATGATGTTGGGCAATAAAAGAAGAGGTGCTTTATTCTGAACATGCTGACCCACATTGAAAACTAAAAGGTAGATTATGGAAAACTCAAACAAAAAAATCACAGAAGGAAAACAACTGCCTACTGAAGCCATTTAATGGGGGATTTTCCATCTTCTATTGGGAAATTTGGCTGATCCCTTGATGATGCATCCTTATCGGTAGAGAATGGACTTTGAATTGCCCTTCCAGTAGTGATGATGTATCTGCCTACATTCTTTTTCTCATGATCCCCTTTGAGATGCA